TTGGTCTACTTCTCCTTAATCACAGAATTAGAATGACAAGCGAAACAAAAACATGTTTATTAAACATCATCCTAAAAGGCGCCCCTCAGCCATACATTTATTTACTTGTCAACCTGATTATTAGATTGAATGGATGATTATTGTCGATCATTTCCTAAAGGGGCGGGGGTTAGTTGCGTTACGTTACGTTCTATGGTTACGTTAGGCAAGTGCTCGGCTGCTGCGCGCGCTGATCGAAAATGAAGCGGTCTAAACCCTCTGGTGCACAGGGACGAAAACGGAGAAAGCAACAAGATAAAAAGAAAGCCCAGTAGAGGTAAGTGTTCTCATCTCAGCCATTAAGGTGTCAAATGTTCTGGCCATCGGTACTACCGGGAGATTCCCGCGGGGCCGACGTGCTTTTTGGGGCGATACATCTCATACTTTTTTTTTTTTTTTATGTTTCTATTTTTGTCTTAACGGCCCATAAAACTCGTACATCGGTGGCCCATTCGTTTTGTTTTACTTAATTGACGGCGCTGGGTTACTTCCAAATATATAACTTACTTTCAAGTATAGAAATTTGTACAATAAGGCTACTTATGAAAGTGTCCTTTATTTTTCAGTGCATTTGTTTGACAATAAAGCCTATGGCTATTACTGTCATCATGGGATTAATATTATATATATTATTGTTGTAGTGTAATGTAGACAGACACTGTAATAAAAAGAGGTTTGAATTTTTCTTTGTTCAATTTGCACCTTGAATATGGGTTGGAGCTTTTAGTTTTGAACTCTCAAAGTGCACCAGATTGATGAATTTAACCCAAAATCCCCTTAACCTTGTAGCAGCCTAATAGATTAGTAATAATAGTATGCCTAGAGGTGCAGTTGTAATTTATCTACTACAAGTTATGGTCAGATAAAATATATTTGTACAATGCAACTATAAATACCCTTGAACGTTCTTTGTAGCATTTGTATGAACAATTTATTGTTGAAGTATTGTTGACTTTAAGAGCATTTTTGTTTAGTTTAAAAAATACTCTTTTTTTTGGGGGGGGGGGGGGGGGGGGTGCAAAACTCAATTTCGCCTAGGGCAACCAAAGGGTTAGAGCCGGCCCTGCACCCACTGCCCAATATTTTTCTCAAAAGGCGAGGACGCGCTAGCCCAGACCTGGCCCAGCCGCCCGCTTTATGCATTCCCTCCGGTTTCTCTGCTACCGCAGGTGCTTCAGAGAATCAGGGAAACACGCCACTCGGTGCTCCTCATAGCCCCGCGTTGGGAGGGTCAGACTTGGTTTCCGGAGCTCACTCAGCTGTCACAGACAGCCCCGTGGCCCATTCCAGTCAGAACAGATCTCCTCTCCCAAGCTCGCGGCACGATCTGGCATCACCACCCAGAGCGCTGGGCGCTTCATGCGTGGGTGATCAACGACTATCCGTTGCTTTGCCAGAAGGAGTTTTAAACACGATCATGCAGGCTAGAGCGGCTTCTACTAGAAGGCTCTATGCGTCTAAATGGTCTGTGTTCTCTAAGTGGTGCACCGACAGAAACTTGGACCCACGGTCATGCGAGGTTCCTTCCTTGCTAGTTTTTCTCCAAGAGATGCTGGACAAGGGCAGGTCCCCGCCCACTCTCAAGGTGTATGTGGCAGCCGTCGCGGCGTTCGCTGAACCCCGGCGCGGCCAGTCACTGGGCAAAGATGGCTTAGTCATCCGCTTCCTCAGGGGAGCTAGAAGGATGAACCACTCACGCCCCCCTTCGGTGCCGATTTGGGACCTTTCCATAGTTCTCGAAGCTTTGAAAGCCCCCCCATTCGAACCGCTAAACACCGTGGACCTCAAATACCTTTCGCTCAAAACCATTTTTCTGCTCGCGCTCGCGTCAGTGAAGCGTGTGGGAGACCTTCACGTGCTGTCCAGTAGCGCTTCCTGTCTGGAGTTTGGGCCCAATGACTCCTTAGTCGTTCTCAAACCTAGACATGGTTATGTCCCAAAAGCGATTGGTACCCCGTTCAGGGCTCAAGTTATTTCCCTATCGGCTCTGCCTGCATCCGATAGCGAATCTGACTCTAATCTCCTGTGTCCGGTCAGGGCCCTGAGATTATACTTTACTCGCACTGCTCCGGTCAGACGAGCTGAGCAGCTTTTTGTTTCGTTCGGTGGGCGCACCAAAGGGTTGGCCGCCTCGAATCAGACTCTGTCCAGATGGATAGTTGATGCCATTGCAGCCGCATACGCATCAAAAGACCTGCCATGCCCTCTGGGCATCAGGGCCCATTCCACTAGAGGCATGGCCTCATTGTGGGCGTGGTCCAGCGGAATTTCCATTCATGACATTTGTGTGGCAGCGGGATGGGCTTCCCCCTCCACCTTTGTCAGATTTTACAATCTGGAAGTTCCCGCCTTGCAGGCTAAACTACTAGCAGTCTAGTATGTTACAGCTCTTCTGGTTGAGCTGCACTATAGGGAGTTATTCACTCAGACCGTTTTCGCTCTGTCCCTCTCTATCATGTGCTTATGTACTTCACAATCCCCGGCCCGCTCTGCTGGCCTTTGTCACATGTACATATATTATTCCGGTGTGTGCTTTGCGCATATACCTGGACCGCACTCGGAGCTTCAGATGATCTGATCAGCTCTTCGGCTGTTTTAGAGGTCAGCAGAAGGGTCTCTAAAAAGAGATTGGCCCACTGGATTGTGGATGGCATTCTCCAGGTTTATCAGGCCCATGCCCACTGGAAGTGAGAGCTCACTCCGCCAGGGGTATTACTAGTTTCAACAGTCTACATTTCCTCCATCAGGGAACTTTAGGTTACACTAGTAACCGAGACAATTTTTACTTCTGCTTCAAACTTTATAAAAGTTTTAATTTGTGACTTTTACCGTAAAACTTCAAATAATAGCCGAGTCCCAAATAGACGCCTGTCTCTTTTACACGCCTGGTGTGGCTGCAGGTTTGGGTAAATAAAGGCCGGTCTCAAATAGAGGCCGGGTCTGTTTTTTAGTTTCGGGTTGAATTTAATCTTCTAAAACCGTCAGATCGTCCGCTTTTTGGCGGCCGCCAACGCAAATGTTTGTCCCGCCAAAGCCTTTTTTTTGATCGGTGAGTGATGTAGAATAGAATGACTGGTGCGCTTGACAGGGCGCATTACGAACAGAGAGAGCGCTCCGGACGCGCGCGCGCACTCTCACATCTTCAAACAACACGAGCGCTGTCTTGGTCTCTATCCCTCGCGCATATTAATCAAAATCAGTTGACGCGATAGTAAAAGGTCGGAAGTTTCACGTGGAGCATTTGGGGATTTTTAGAGATTAGAGACTCTAGGACACTCAATGAACAACATCTCAACACTAAATTATAAAGGCCTGTCTCATATAGACGCCTGTCTCAAATACAAGCCGGTGCAGTTCGACGATTTGGGAAAATAAAAGCCCGGGCTACTATTTTAACTTTTACGGTTACTTTTGTTGGTCAGAGCTTATTTTTTGCAATAATCCAAAAGCCAATGGAAATATCCAATTGGGTTTTTATTAACTTCAGGGTTGGCCTACAAAAATGTTATGGCTGCAGCATTCTATTTGATTGGAGAATGAAGAGAATAACCAATTCACCCTACTTTTGTTCTTTACTCCTTAAGATTCGAATGGTAAGGCTTAGATAGGTGTATATAGATGTAGATTTATGACATAGATTTAGAAAATAGATTGGGTGAATTTTCATTTCATGCCAGCTTTAAAGCTGTTTACTCGGTTTCAGTCCATGAGTGCTTGCATGAAGTGTGGCAGCAACACGACTTTGTTGGTTCAGTTGGGCCGGTTTAACTTTGGTCCTTAGGGATACTGGCGTGGGTGTTTGCACAAAAACAGCCGCTGTTCATCAGCGGTACCACCTCCACAGCTGACCCATTTCTCTGTGGTTACAAAAACCCCTTCTGAAGTGAATGTCTCACTCAGTCATAAGAAAACAACAGCTCACTGTTAGAACAATTCTGCCCATTGAACATCACTGTGGTTTAGAGAGGAGACACCCATGTCAATCTGGATAGAGTCTCACATGACAAGGCAAGGACCAACATGGTCACAGTGGAAAGTTACTCCAAGAGGTCAAAACTGCTAATTTGGAGTTCTTTTGGTTAATTTTCATTTCATGTGGCGTTTCCTTTAGTGTGGAGTTTGTTCGTTCAGCTGTGTTTTCTTTGCTGTTCCCAAGCACCACAGCTCTCCTTCACGGTAGATGGGTGACTGCCAAGAATAGCACAAGTTCATGTTCATAGGATGCATGAGAGGGTTGTGGAGAAGGTAGACATGGTTGTCCGCGATGCAGAATATGAGACAACTAAAAGTTCATGTACTACTGAGCAAAGACTAGGTGAATGAGAAATGCAAGATGAACATGAATAGGCGTTTTTGGGATTATAGGATTTTCCATTCAAGGAAAACTGGGTTCGTTTGTGTGACTTGCTTCCAATTACTACAACAAAGTTTGATTCATCACTCAATATGCAAAACTAGTTTCACGAGTTCACACTTACATACAATTAGAGGGAGTAAAGTTGAATGCGTATTTGGCGTGCTGTCAGGGGGGAGGGCTCCGACAACCCAGAGTACTGCAGTTAGTTAATGCAGAAATGTGAGAAGGGCTTTTTTGTCTTATTCAGTTTTGTATTATGTATTACCTTTTACACTTGTGCAAAGTAGCCTGTAAGTGCACAGAGTTTTGGTGCTATTTGTGTCTGAGTGAGAAATGAATACATGTAATTTGAAAGATGCAGTCATTGAATGCATTTTGTGCCAAAGCAATGATGAATACTCCACAGTTTAGCCCAGACCCTTCAAAAATGGGTCCTAGTTATTGTAAAAAAAAAAAAAAAAAAAAAAAAAAAAAAAACTGTAATAATGAACCCAGAATGTTCTTTTAAGCATTGCCATTATTATGGCATGAAAGTGTTATTTGATAAGAAAACAAGTTCACCAGTTCATCAGATATATAACAGTGCAACATTATTCTTTAGTATAAACAGCATTTTAATGTTGTTCTTTTTTGTCCTTAGTTCTCTAGTATGAACATTATAAACATATCAACATAATTTACACAAAGGCAATTTACAGTGAAAAATACTCTATACTTGACACTGTCAGTGCAACCGTTCTTCGTAAATAAACTGTTTGTTAACATTTGAACCAAATGAAAATATGCAGCTTATGGTGTAATAGTCAGAATATCAGAAAAAAGTTATTGTAGCAGCATGAGTATAGTATCTTTTGGATAAAATCATTTATACATAGTATCAACAGTGTTAAGAACAGTTCCTCAAGTATTTGTGATTTGAGAAAATCACCTGATACTGTTTGGGGACTCGAGTTAGTGAACCGACTCGACAAGTTGTTAATTACTGCACAAACCAATCAGTACAGTCTCTTCCGAGGGACTCTTGAAGACCAGCGATTGTTGTTTAAACTGTAAAAAATTTCCATGCAAAGCAGTAGAGACTGCTGGCAAAAGAAACATGTTAAACCATTTTTGTTATAAAGGGATAGTTGACATGAATTCTGCTTAAATATCCCTTTTTAGAATATTATGGGTGTCATTGAAGCAAAAGCTCAGGCTGAAGATCTTGCTATAAGTGTTCAGGTTATCTTGTGTTGTTTACTGGTGTTGTTTATGAGAGAGCGCCTGCTGAAGCGTGATCTCCAGTCTCTGCTGAAGAGCGTCTAGACGCAGGTCCAGATGTTCCTTTAATCTTCTCTCCATCTCATCCATTCTCTTCTCTACGACTGTCTCCAGAATCTTCTCAAAGCCTCCACAACACATATGACCCTCCCTGTAATTCAAGAAAAAGAAGAAGATATATACGGTGAGTGGACAAACTAAAGGAAACAATAAATACATCAGAATGAAGTGTCCCTATTATTCAGATATTACCTTTCATGCAGTGTGTTATGTAGCTGTTTGTGAATGTAAAATGTCTTAAAAGTTTAAAGATCAATATGCAAGATAAATAAAGTTATTGTTTCCCAAAAGAAAGAATCGATTCTGAACTGCCAAAAGAAGTCGTCAGTAATTCCAGTCTTACTTCTGAACAGCTGGGCCCAGGTTACACTTTTAAGTAATCTTGTGGATTTGCAAAGCAAGCATGTCATCCTTGACCTCATCACATAATTATGATGTAGCACACGCACGCACGCACACACAAAAACTGCCTTAATTCTTCATGGCATAAACACACAAGCACGAACGCACACATACACAACTGCCTTAATTCTTCATGGCATAAACACACACAAGCACGCACGCACACACACAACTGCCTTAATTCTTCATGGCATAGACTCAAAAAGGTGCTGGAAAAATTCCTCAGAGAGATTTTGGTCCATATTTATATGAGAGCATCATATAGTTGCTGCAGATTTGCAAATGCAAATCTCCCGTTCCACCACATCCCAAAGGTTCTCTAGTGGATTGAGATCTGGTGACTGTAGACAGGTAGATATTAGAGTAGTGAACTCATTATGTTCAAGAAACCAGTTTGAGATGATTTGAGCTTTGTGACATGGCGGATTATCCTGCCGGAAGTAGCCATCAGAATAGTAGTACAATGTGGTCATAAAGGGATGGACATGTTCGGCAAACAATACTCAGGTAGGCTGTGGCGATTAAACGACGCTCAATTGGTACTTAGGGCTCCAAAGTTTGCCAAGAAAATATCCTCCACATTATTACACCACCAGCAGCCTGACCCGTTGATACAAGGCAAATTCTGACCCTACCATCTGAATATCGCAGCAAAAATCGAGACTCATCAGACCGGGAAACGTTTTTCCAATCTTCTATTGTAGCCTCAGTTTCCTGTTCTTATCTGACAGGAGTGGCACCGGTGTGGTCTTCTGCTGCTGTAGTCCATCTGCTTCAAGGTTCAGCATGTTGTGCGTTCAGAGACGCTCTTCTGCATACCTCGGTTGTAACACCTTTCTATCAGCTCAAACCAGTCTACTATGACCTCTGGCATCAAAAAGGCATTTTCACCCACAGAACTACCACTATATATATATATATATATATATATTAGGGCTGTTTTCGACTAAGGATTTTCATAGTCGAATCTGATTCGTTAGATTTTGCCGTAGTCGACTGATAGTCGAACCTTTTTTTTTTTTTTTTTTTTAGATAACAGCTAGATTTTTTCCATTTTAAAAAAAAGAGCTAAAAAAAACTAAAAGAAAAACATGGTGTGTAACAAATACCTTTTATTAATTTAAAGCCAGATGAACAAACATATCACACATATGTCAAACATCAGAAAAGTTCACATAAAATAGGAACAAATTGGCTTCAAAAACAACAACGTGCTTTGTTTGAAATAAATCACACAGTAAACAAAACCTTAAAAGAAAAACTTTGCAATTTAGACGCGCAAACTGCGTGCCGGTGCGGTGAGACGTCACGTAGCCTACATGCTCGGGCAGATTCGGCTTGAAGTCGTTCATCCTCGGATGCGGGGTCGCGCGCGCTGTTACAAAAAAAAGCTGTGCACACAGGCAAGCGAAATGGGGTCTTGCCGGGCTTGCGCACCCAACGCGTCATTTTTTGCCGTGCGCACCTTCGCGCTCGTGCGGACGCGTCGAGTATAAACAAGGCTTTACTCCGTGTCAGCGCGCGCTCTGGTCGGTAAAGGGGCACAGACCTCTCCCGAATCATCTCCAGCACTCAGCCTCCGACCTCAGCCTCAGTTTCCCTCGTAAGATGAAATTAGTATTTAAACATTCTCTATGATAAAAAAGGTTTGTAAAAAATATTTTAATAGCACGGTTTTGGCGGTTATAGAGTTCTAATGACGGTGTTCAACTATAACCGTCGGTCTCACGGTTATATAATAACCGTCACACCCCTCATAACACCTGCCTACTATTCGACTATGAGGTTCATAGTCGAATCAGACCTCTCCGAATCGAATCCTCTACTATTAGAAGTCAGCCCTAATATATATATATATACTTCCTTTGTGTTAGAAATAAACTAATACATACAATAATACAATACAATAAACTAATTTCAAAAAGTCTTGAGGGACACATTCAATTTTCGGGTCACCTACAGCTTTATCCTAGTAATAAAAGTAATAAAAACCTCATGTGTTTATTGGTGCTATTATTCATATTAGTACTCACACTGTTATCACGATGAGCTGGTTACCACAACCAAACATTTGAGTGGCTTCAAAAACTGTGGTAGTTGAACCTCTGTTTATTGAAAACCACACATGACTCACACTTACCGTTCTCCATTCTTCTTCCTCTCTGGAGATGTGGCTTCCTCCAGACGGAGCTGCGTGACCTGACCGCATACGCTCTGCAGCATTGGAAGCAGGTCTGGGTTTATCGTGCCGGTTTCAGAGCTCAGGAGGGCAGACATGGCACCGGGCATCTGGTTGCTGGCAGACAGAAGCTGCTCGAGGCCAGACGGTGGATTTGGGCCTGACTCCGCCCCTGTGGCATCAGAAGCCCCACCTCCTCTTGACAAACAGCCCAAAGCTCCACCTCCCATGAGCAGAGGAATGAAACCATTCAGCATGTCTGACTTATTCTGGACAGACAAAGAGTGATTGTTCAGTTGTGATGAAGCTGTGTACTGGCTAGTTTTTTCTCTCAAATAAACTGTTCTCCAAAAAACTCATTTGTGACCCTGGACCACAAAACCAGTCACATGGGTAATTTTTTTTTAAAATTGAGATTTATACATAATCTGAAAGCTGAATAAATAAGCTTTCCATTGATGTATGGTTTGTTAGGATAGGACAATATTTGGTCAAGATACAACTATTTGAAGATCTGGAATCTGAGGGTGCAAAAGAAATCGAAACATTGAGAAAATCGCCTTTAAAATTGTTCATTTATGTTCGCGATTGTGCTGCATTCATTCACAAAAATAAATGTTTTATATATTTACGGTAGGAAATTTACAAAATATCTTCATGGAACATGATCTTTACTTAATAGCCTAATGATTTTCGACATAAAAGAAAAATCGATAATTTTGACCCATACAATGTATTGTTGGCTATTGCCACAAATATACCCGTGCTACTTATGACTGGTTTTGTGATCCAGGCAGGGTCACAAATTTGAGAATTAACATGTTTAAAAAAGGGAGGTCACAAAATATGCATTATGCTGATAAAATACCAAATATACAGAAGAGTATATGACAGGAAATATATATAAAAACAATACTTTATTTACTATTCTCTTATGCTCACCAAGGCTGCATTTATTTGATGAAAATACAGATATATAAAATATAAATAACAGTAATATTGTGAAATATTACTATTTAAAATAAATGTTTAGTATTTTAATAGGTTTTAACATTTTTGTGGAAACTGACTAGGTATCAGTAAGTAAGATAAAAAAATAGAAATTAACACTTTTATTCAGCAAGGACACATTCAATTGATCAAAAGCGACACTAAAGACATTTATAATTTTACAAAAGATTTCTATTTCGAATACATCTAGTTATTTATTTATCAACGAATCATGAATACAAAAATATTAAGCAGCAAAGACTATTGAGCACCAAATCAGCATATTAGAATGACTTCTGAAGGATCATGTGACACTGAAGACTGAGTAATGATGCTGAAAATTCAGCTTTGCATCACAGAAATAAATTCTATTTTACAATACATTTAAATAGAAAACAGTTATTTTAAATTGTAATATTTTACAGGAATATAGAAAGTAAACAAAATAAAGCCAAGATCATAACCACATACAAGACAGCCCTCTAAACACCAAATAGCTGAAGATTTTTTTATAAGAAGTGGGCAGAATGTCGATTTAATGATGTCAGACACTGACAGACTGTTACAAGAAACGCCTAGGATTTGTGCCAAAGGGGCCAAATTTGCTGAACAGCAGAATATACTGTACAAAAATGGGTGTGGGAACGGGACTTGCCCATGCAAACCTCATCACCACAATGCTTGGATACTGCTGATATGGTTTGCCAAGTTGTTATGGGTGATTTTTAGTGCATTTCTATGAGGTTTCTAAGTGCTAGGACTGGCTGCTTACAGACGCAAGATGTCTTATACAAACCACAATGTTTTATACAACCGAACCCATATAAAAACACTAACCATTTTAATCTATTAACTCATTTAAGAGGTAGTATAGGCTTGGTCCAGCTATCTTTATTATCGATCTATATTTCCAATTAACAGAAGTGAGATTCATTCCACAATGGATGTGTGCATAGTATGTAATATATCAAGCATGATAAAAAGAGCAGAGGTGTGGTGAATATGTTGTAATAAGAGGCTGGATCCAGACCTTTTGCTGGCACTGCACCAGCTCCATGAGGTTCTGTGCTCCTGGTGAAAGTGTGGTGCCCATCTCCTCCATCATAGTCTGCACACGCTGAAGGTCGATGCCTGGGTCTACACTCGGGCCACCTTGCCCGTCCTTGAGCGTCTCCAGTCCCACACCCACATGGGTGATAGCCACAGAAGAGCGGCCACCAAGAGAGAGCAGCTGTACGGAGACACCACACATGATGCTGAGACAACAGACATCAGTTAGTGTGTTTGTGATGTTATTTCCAGCTTTCCTTACCTTCACCTCACACGATGCAGCAGGGCTTTCCAGCACCAGATGATTCCTATAGAAATGCCCCTCATCTTCACAACTGACAGAGAACAGAATAATCAGCAACACTTTAGGTATAATATGGTATTCATAATGTGCATTTTAATGCATTATATGTTTTTTCATTAATAATTGTAGTCAAAGTTAAAATACATTATAATATTTTCAGATTCCTTGTGAATCCAATCTGAAATTGGTTGTTTGTCATGTGTTTTAATGAATTATACTTTCTAAACGTGTGTTCAATGAATAGATAAGTATTATAATGCATTATAACTGTGGTTATGATTCATGAGACCACAAAATGCATTATGTAAAGAATACTTTAATAATGCATTATACACAAAGGCTTTAAGTGTACCAAATATTCTATAATAAATATGACTAATTCACTAACTCCACAATATACTGAGCTGAATCTGTAAAGTTCAAAATGAGGTACAGCACAAAAATGGGTCAAAATCTGTATTTATTCAAAGATTTTCATTTTAAATTATTATTGCAATTATTATTAATAAGAAAAATAATAGTATTGACATTGGTATATTGCCTTTCCAACGCTAATTCATTCACAAACTAATTAAATATGCATATTACATAAAAAAGTAATATAGATCTCATACAGTATCAAAATGTTATTTTTTTGTTTGATTGGCATCAGCAAACATTAATTTTATTTCGAATAAGATTGAAAACATTTGTTTTTGTTTGAATATGTTCTACAACTCAGTTGTTATTTGTTATAAGTTATATTTGTTATGTCATTCAAGTTTGTCAAAGGTCATTCAACTATCTTTAATAATACATTTTATGCTTTTAACTGATCAAAAATGTCCATAAAAGACAAAAGGGGAAATAGAGTTGGTTATGGTTTATTTTAAGGTGAAGTTGTTACAATGTACTTACACAAACAAGTAATGAGTCATTAATTAACTACATGCACGATAGGGTTAGTTAGGCTTAGAGTGGGTTGCTTGTAATTATACATAATTTACTATTATTACTAAAGTAAGTACACCATAAAATAAAGTGTTAACGGGACTTTCAAATCCCTCAATAAAATCATATTGGCAGCAAATTGTTAATGAAATTAGGGATCTGTATATTATGACACATTAGATATTTATTACTATATACATTTAGTATATTAGCAAAAGGTCACAACAGCAGCATCGGAGAGACGTTAAACTGTGCCAATGTACAGTTGAAGATGAAATACAATTAAAAAAATATTTAATTTATTAAATATTATTTGGGTTTTTCTTTTAAAAAGTTAAAGTACTGTAAAGTAAATCATTGTAGAATTTAAAATTGTTAAATGCACACCATGTAACTTTATTTTTTTCAAAATTAAATTGTTTTTTTGTCTTACCCTGATTCACTACAGTAAGCCTACTAATACTCTAAGTGTTTATATTTTAGACCTAGCGGGATGGTTTTTGTGGGAAATTGCGTACATGACTGTCTCGTCATATCCAAATAAAGGAAAGCTGCTCCGGCTACTTTGATGCGTGTATGGTTTGGGAGTGCCATAGGTTAGTTGTCACAATGAGCGAGAAAGGTTGACATGGAGCAGCTACATCTCAAACCTCCGGGGAAACACCCGAACAGAGGAAAGTCTGCTCGCTTGTGATAAAACGAGAAGCAACATTGGCTTGGCTTTTCAGAGATAGCGAGAACCGAGGATCTGAAAGTGATACGGAGATGGGTTTAAAGATGGCACCTTTTTAATCCAACCAAGATATTTTTTCGCCTGTTGTACCTCTCTTAAAACGAGTATATATATTATTTAAAAAATAAAAATAAAAATAAAAAATACCCATCATTGTGTGATCTTTGAACTTCCTCCCCGCGGCAGGTGCCACAGTATTCTCCAGACAGTGAGTACACTTCAAAGGTGCGGGCTTCACTGACAAGCTGAAGACTGCTGATCACAGTTGAAGAGCTGTGTGAACACAGAAGTGTGACGACACATGGCGAGCCCTCCTCAGCTCTCTCCAGACAGACAGCTTTACACCTGGGAAAAATGCATGAGCAAATATATGAATATCAAGTCAGCTAATACTTTATAATCAGATTTTTGTAGCTTAAGATGACAAGACAATGCATTTATAACAATAAATAAAGATTATTTTATTGTCAAATCAATATCTTATTACTATTACAGTGAGGAAAATAAGTATTTGAACACCCTGCTATTTTGCAAGTTCTCCCACTTAGAAATCATGGAGGGGTCTGAAATTGTCATCGTAGGTGCATGTCCACTGTGAGAGACAATCTAAAAAATAAAATAAAATCCAGAAATCACAATATATGATTTATTTGTATGATACAGCTGCAAATAAGTATTTGAACACCTGTCTATCAGCTAGAATTCTGACCCTCAAAGACCTGTTAGTCTGCCTTTAAAATGTCCACCTCCACTCCATTTATTATCCGAAATTAGATCTAAGTAATATTAAGTATTATTAATCTAAACAGGTGGAGCTGGGGTAGGTGGAGGGTTTCTGAAAATACGCTGCAACTGCTACAGTAAATGCTGACCAAGTATTTTAAGAATGAGCAGTGAGCTCATTGGCTACTGATACAGCAGGAACCAATCAGCTGTGCCCTATAGAGCAGTGTTTCCCAACCCTGTTCCTGGAGGCACACCAACACTACACATTTTCCAACTCTTCCTAATCGATCACACCTGAATCAACTCATCAGCTCGTTAGTAGAGACTCCAAGACCAGAAATATATGGGTCAGAAAAGGGAGACATCCAAAATGTGCACTGTTGGTGTGCCTCAAGGAGCAGGGTTGGGAAACACTGCTATAGAGAATGATGTGATTGCAAGGAGATTGAGTTAAATGGGACATCAGATGCAAAATTCACTTTTATATGGTATTTGCATATAAATGTGTCTTTGCAGTATGTGAACACAACCACCATACAATGTAAAAAATCCATTTACTCCATTTTTTTTAATCCTCAAAAAGCCTAAACACTCTCAATAATCAAGCCGTTTGGATTTTCTGAGCAATGTGATGTCACATTGCTCATGCTCCTCCGACTACTGACGGACTGTCCCGTATTAGCATATTTCCCCCTCAGCCATTTGTATATTGTCTGCCAAGGCAGCACATGTTGGCCCTGTCCCAATATCCGCACTTGTGCCCCTCAATGCGCGTTCTCGCTAAGGGGTGCAAGACCGTAGGGTGTCCCGATCCTCTAATAGTGTTCTCCAGGGGTGATCATAAGGGCACTTAATGCACCCCTTTCGCAAGTGCGCATCAGACCTCACTTTGCTGTGGGATATTACCCAGAATCCTTGTAGTGTTGTGACGTTCCGAACAGCTAACCAATGGGGGAGAAACTCCGAAGATAAAGGAAGCCGGTATGGTGAAGTGTTTTTCAAGGCTGCGAAATTTAAAAATATTAGTGTTATTGTTTCACGAAATGTAGTTTTAAGAATTTTTCAGTCGAGAATATAGTTGTTTAAAGCTCAAATCTGTGGTTTGTTTATAAAGATAGCGCCTATTTAAAAATTTGATCGGACTTTTTCAGAGTTCCATGGATCAGCGGGCGCACAGCGCTCATATACCCCGCCTGGAACAGCCTTACCTCGGCTAGTCATTCTGACGTTTCCCGCGGGCTCTGTGTCTAGTGGTTAAACATGAGCTATAAATCGGCTTGTCTATATCTAACGGGCGATCTTTGGTCTCATTAATGTATGATTTGTTCCCTGGCAAATCATTTTGGCTGAGGGCAAAGTGAAGTTTCATAACTTTATATATTTATGCTATTTAACTGTAACGTTGTAACGTTAGCCTGGTGACTTATGTTTGACTGAATATTTTAACTTGCTTTATTTCTTGACTTATATAGATTCTTATACTTTTTAGGCTACTTATAATTTAATAATGGCTATTATTGATCAATAAAACTGAAATTTAACAAAAAGAGACAGTGTTGTGTCATTTTATTTCATTTAGCCTATGTAAAACGTTTAATATATAGCCTTAGCCTATATATAATATATCACCAACACGTCATGTATTTTTTCATGTATGGGATGGGAAGAATTTCATATAACAATTTCCATAATAACATAATTAAAATTGCATTTCGAATCGCTGTGAATACGGTAAGGCAGTATAAGCTCAGATAAAGCCCAATCACAATTTATCTTAGCCAAAAACTGTTTTAATATTAATAACATTAACAGAAAGGTTGGTAGCTGAGAGTAAAAAAAGATATTTTTTTCATTCAAAGGATTGTGTCATGTTACAGCTATTATAAGCAGCACACACATTAGCCAAATGAATGGTGTTTGCTCTCCTGATCACAAAAGAAGTGACGTGTGCAAAACTAAACTGTCCCAATTCTGCTCTTCACAGCTTCGGGCCCTTGCGCACTTACTCCGCTAAGTGCACTTTCAACAAGTGTCCACTTCCAGGAAGGCCTTAGGGCTCAAGTGAGAATTGGGACTGGGCCTATGTGTCTTGTGCCGACACGCCCCATGGAAGAGAGGGGTGGGGTGAGCAGTTGATCATTATCATTTAAAGAGACATGCACCGAAACGGTTGTTTTACAAAACCATAGAGGAATTGTAACCAAAGTATGTTACAAACTTTACATGAAGACCCTAAAGAATCATATCAACTTGTGGAAAATGGGCATCCGAAGACCCCTTTAAGGACCTGTGCCATTTGGAGTTTCATGACAGAACTTTGTATTTTTAGTTGGACCCTATAAAATCCATTCTATTTATTTCCAAATTCAATTTTATCATTTTAATATTTCGGGATTCCATTTTTTTCAGTTTTAATTTTCTGGACCTCGATTTAATGGTTAAATTAAATGTTAGCATTTATGAAACAAACAATTTAACAATAAACGTTTCAAAAAAATGTTTAGGGCCCTACGAAATGTTTTATGCTATCGCAAAATCCATTTTATTTTCCCAAAATTTTCCATTTGATGTTTTCTGAATTCCATTCCAATGGTTTAATATTTTTTTTAATAAGCAGAACATGTCACATGAAATCAGTTTGATTGGTAAAACTTTTACTTAATTTATTACTTTTAACAATAATAGGGCCCTTTAAAAAATTGTTATGTTGTTTTTGTTTTAATTTTTCTGATTTAACAATAATTTATCATCAAAAACAGTGGTAATCAAATGAAGGCATACAACATTAACAATTTATAAAATCTTTTAATCACACGAAAATTAAACCATTTATTTTTTGGCCAAAAAAAAAGAAAAGAAAAATTCTGCACAACAGAGGTTCACTGTTAAACTTAAAGAAGAAAATTGTAGTTTTAATACCTGTATTATAATCGCTTTGCGAGGTACAATCTACAAGCCACCACAGCCGATGAAAAGAACTCACCTGTCATGGTCAAACCTGCAGTCATCGTTGGGTCTGTTCTCTTGTGTTACGGTGAGAATATCCGACAGCTGGATCTGTGATGAGCACAGCCACGAGCTGCGTGCAGAGATCAGACTACCTGTACTCGAGCTCATCCTGATAAAATATCTTTATTTCCAGGTAAAACGCATCCACACACCGCTTAAACCGCTTGTTCCCACGCAAACAAGATCACTGTCATACTGTACACTAAAATCTTCATGTTTCAGTTACGTCGCTCCAAAGACTGGTGTGTGAGGGGTTAAAATACATATTTGCTAGTCAAGTTCGAAACAAAAACAGTCAATTATCGCAATACTTGTATTGTAAACCGTTTAATAAAATCAATAAAACAGTATATAGACAAACAACGTTGTCCATTCCATTCACATCAACAAATTCACATGCTCAACAAACAGCGACGGCTGCTGCTCCAGGACCCACAGAGACAACCATTCATACGCCTGAGTAAAATTCTGTCGCTCGTCTCATTTGACACTTTTAGAGAGAAACAAAAGTAGTCTTCAGGTAACATTAAATACTATGATCGTAGGAACACGTCTTATTGCCTCTGAAGCTATCACATAAATAGAATAAGTAGAACAACAGTTAAAATGATATTTATCTTATGGACAGGGCGATGCTTCTACTAAATTAATATAGAAGTGTACTATGACTAATATTGCATATTTACGTTTTTTTGTTGTTGTTGTTGTCCAGACCACCATAAAGGTGCCGAAAAAGATAATTGATGTAACAGATTTTTGTTAGTGAAGGTGAAAAACTGTCCGTGGATGTGGATCTATATTATGTTTTGGTTTTACCCTGTTGGAAATTCAATAATAAAGAAAGATCGGAAAGGTGGATTGAGATTTTACATTTGTACAGAACATTAAACAATATTTTTTTTTTTTTTTTTTTTTTTTAGGCATCTCTAAGAAAGTTTCGAAGTTTGGGCTTTATTAACATCACAGCGCCGCCTGGAGGAATAAACAGTGTCTACTCCTTTTTTACAGTCTACAGTTTGTTTGAAATTTGGGAGATGAATATTAGACCCACCCAACGTAAAAAAAACAATAGTACTCTTTCTCACTAGATTTAATTAGATCAAGGCCATTTTAATTCATTTGGTGTAAGGTCTTTGGGTATAATAATAGTTTTCAATCATAGATTGATTTACGCTTTTTGAGTAGCCGATCTACACCTTATTTATTTATTTATTTATTTATTTACTTACTTAGGCTGGCTACCTAATGAATTACATACAAGCTATGAAATAAATCAGTCAACACGTTTATCTATATCCCCATCTTTATATCTAAATCTAAAATCTATAAATAGCTGTGATACGGTCTGAAAGAGGTTGATAAGAGAATGTCGCTCCACCTGTCTGACTGCTCGTGCACGCCCCGGCTTCGGCTCGTTCGCGCTCACCTGAGACCAAGCGTCAGTCCAGAGAAACATCATGACGCGGCATATTTACTTCATTCTCATAATCACAAACTTCGCGATTTGCCCAGGTAAGACACAACCGATCATTTATGGGCTACTTGTTGTTTTCATACTGTTGACTACACACAATGGAGTAAAAAACTATATAAACAATCGTCGTGTTTCTCTGAAAACAAACTACACAACTAGTACAAAAGTCTGTACTGGAGTAGCCTATTAATCATAGGCCTATAGAGAAACATATTAATAGATAGTTTTTACTTTATTATTATTATTAATAGATAGTTTTTACTTAATTTATTACTAGGTTAAATTACATTAGTTGTGTTTGGTATTGTTTAAAAAATAGCTTTAGTAGCCTAGGCTATATATGGCGAGCACAATGTAGTATGTAGCCAATATGAAATCACTAAAACTGATTCTAAAAATAAACACTGCATATGGTGATGAGTTTGTAATATATTTTTTTTATGTTTTGAAAGAAGTATCTTATGCTCATAAAGGCTGCATTTAGGCAAAATAAATAGATTTCTAGTCAAATTGAATGTTTTCTATTCGAACTTAGTTTTAAATATAATGTATTCATGTGAAGCAAAGCTTATTTTTCAGCATAGTTACTCCAGTCTTCAGTGTCACATGATCCTTCAGAAATCATTCTAATATGCTGGTTTGGTGCTGAAACGTATTATTATGAATGTAGAATACATTTGTGCTGCTTAATATTTCTATGGTAACCATGCATAATAAACTACCATTTATAAGTTTAAGTATGATCTTTAATAAAAAAAGAAATGAACACTTAAGATTGATAACAATTAGAACCATTATTAATAATTGAGCACCAATAATAATTGAGCACCAAATCAGCATAATTTCGGAAATATCATGTGAAACTGAAAACTGAGGTAATGACTGCAGAAAATGCAGCTTTGCCATTATAGGAATAAATAACATTTATTAAAATAGAAAATGCTTATTTTAAAATGTCATAACATTTCACAATAGTACTGTTTGTAGCCTACTGTATTTTTCATCAAATAAATTCAGCATTGGTAAGTAGATGAGACTTTTTTTTAATAGACAATATAGTCTTAATTTGAAGAACTCACAAAACCCATTTCAGCACATGATCAAACTTGTTCCATATTTAGTTAGTTATTAAGATATTCTTCCTGTTGTGTTTATTTGCTTCTTTTATCATATGCCTTCATAGTCCAGACCACAGACCCAACATCATATGTGAAGAATTATGATGTGGTCAAACCTCAGCTGGTTCATGAGCGCTGGAGGAGAAACGCAGACCCCTCACACACACCTGCACAGGTATAAAGCACTATTGTCACATTAGCTGGAAGTAAGTTATGATGTTGTTCTCGACCTATTTTAAAATGATGTGTCTGATTTCAGGATAGACATGCTGATAGCATCACATACTCAGTCAGGATTGATGGCAGTGAACGTTTACTGCACCTGACAAAGAACACGTAAGAACTTTGAAAGTAGTTTGGCTGAAATGTCTTTATTTAATGATGAAAAATTGTAATTTGATCTCTTATTCCCACAGAGACTTTTTATCGAAGAACTTTGTCGTGTTTTCTCATGACTCACAGGAGAAAGGGAAAGTTGTGAGAATTGTTTTTCTGTTTTATTAGTTACACCACCTACTTTACATGTACATTAGCTTGGTTCAGAATGAGGAAATACATTATTGTCAATAGGCATTGGTCATCTGGCATTGGTCTTTTTATGTTAATAATCATTAACCAAAACATTAACAAACAAAGTAAATTGAGTTAAGTGACAAAGTATTTCAAAACAAGCTGTACTAATACTGGTGGTTGTGTTCTAGGAGCATTGTCACTATCAAGGGTATGTGGAGGGCTATGAAGACTCTCTCGTAGCTCTCAGCAACTGTGAAGGTCTCAGGTATGTATGCTACTTACTTTCACTTCATAAAAAAGCAGTCATACCAGTTTTTCTTCGCAAGGCAGCTCTGTATTAAAACTCCGCCTCTTCATATGCGTAATTTGCGGGAGAGAAGGGTGGGGCATGTTCCCAGTTCCCACCACTTTTTGCCAGCTTTGATATTGTTTCCAGCACTTTTTGAGTGCTCGTTGCCGCTGTAATGATCAGTGGCAGAAGGCAGCAGTGTTCTCAACACTGCGCAGTCTTCACACAGATGAGCTCTTCAATCTATCGCTCAAGGCTGTTGCAGCGAATCTCCATTCGTTCCGGTGAAATCACAAAATCAAACTGCACACAAACGGGCCCCTGCTCTTGATATACAATCACTGATCTTTAAATGAGAGGAAAAAAAATAGGATTAGAACCCAGAACATCTGGCACACTAATAACAAAAATTCTACCACCAGTCCATTAGGACACATAAATGTTTAATGTGGATCTATGTATTTACTCTCAAGTATTATATAAGATGTAAGGATGAAACTATCACATTAAACATAAGTTCTATGTCAATAAATTAAACTCAATGTACTAATGAAATTGATTTCTGGACACTGTAATTTTTTTGTGCATTTATTATTGTACATTTATACACACACACTCCTGTCCCACCCACTTTTTAAAACAGTTACACCACTGCTCTTCTTGTTTTTCTTCTACAAAATTTTCACAAAATAACTAAAAATGGCAAAACCATGCATTATTTTCAAACAGGTTTCCTGAACACAAGTCCCTCCTCAAACTCACACGATTGGTTATGATTCAAAAATTCAAAGCAATGTTATGAAAAGCAAATGCCTACATTTAGAAAGTATTTTTTAACATCCAAAAAATAATTCAGCTTTAACTTACAGGCTCCATTCAAACTTTATTTTGTAAATAATTGCAGTTTGTCTTCCTTATTTAATTTATTTGCATACTGAATGGTGATTGGTCTGATTTTTTTCTTATATACATCTAACAATCTAGCTACCTTTACAATGCAAAAATCATTGCATTTTGTGTTGATTTTTGAATCTAAAATGTAAACTTAAACATAGCACTAGTCACTGCTATTTATTTCTAGAAGTTAGACTAATGAAAGGTGTTTCATGTCTAAGTTAAGCTAAGATAGTGGCAGATGCTATTTGAACATCAGTTTATGTAGTACATTGTAAAACAGTATGCTATATTAACATCTTATTCAGTGTATATGGTTATATTTATTAAAATCCTAAATGAATCCTGTCTTATTGGACCTTGTCCCTGTACTTAAAGCACACCCCTACACCTACCCCCATTTTGAGCGTGGTAACAAATATGTGAGCTGCACGTGTTGCTGTGGTTGTTGTTCAGATATTACATTCATTTTAAATTATAGGCCTAATAAATATTTCCACTTTTTAAAAAATTTCTTAACTTAAAGTTTTATGGGCAAAAAACATTCATTGTGAAAAGCGTAGAGATTTATAAAGGACAACTCGCACAGAAGTCAGTTCCTAACCAAGCAGCTTTTGGTTGGTGAATGCAGTGAATTTACGTGACAAATTTGAACACTAACAAAAGCTGCATGGGGAACTTTTCCGCCCTCACACAAACACACGGATTCCTATTGAAAACACTGGCTTTCGGCCACAATTTCCCCGGGAAAATGGTAAATGTGATCGCATCATTATTCTGTACACCAGACTGGTTTCTTTTGTAATTTTGTCTGAATCAACCAGTCACTGGTGGGCGGAGCTAGTGTAAATAGCCTTATCCAACAAGCCTTATCCATATATCCGTTAAATATATGGTCACTTTTAATAAGAGTAAGAAAAGTCATATACAATTTTTTATGTTCAATGTTAGCTGTTCCTTTTCAAACATTAGGTTGTAACGTTATACGCTGTATTTCAGGGGGGTCATTCTCATCGGTAATGAAGGCTATGGGCTGGAACCCATCTTGCACTCCAAAGCCAATGAACACCTACTCTTCCTGTTGAAGGACAGTCAGTCAGAGCCATTTGTATGTGGACTGGCCAATGAAACGTCTCCCAGTGAGGACCACCCCCATTACGCTGACATGTCCATGTTTTTACGGGTTCGAAAATATGTCATATTGTCTTAAACATTTTGATGTTCTACAAACGCAACATTTGATATTTCATTGAATCTATTGAATCCACAGAAAAAGCGAAACTTACCTCAGACCAAATACGTGGAGTTGGTATTAGTGGTTGACAACCAAAGGGTGAGTTTTAGCCATTCAATGTGTTTTTGGAATAGTTTTTTTCATCATTATATAGTTGGCTGATTCTGAGAGGTGTGTTTATCTGTTCTCAGTATGCCTATAAGAAGCACAACAAAACTGCTGTGCGTGAAGAGATGGTCCAATTGGTTAACTTGCTAGATACGGTGAGAATTATAGCTACAGATAATGTTATTGTTAGGATAAGCCCAGCCCTAACCTCATTTAATAATGTGTTAAGACTGTTGTACTGTATTTCCGAGCCTTTCTCGTGATGATGTAATGAAATATTTGTGGCTCTTTCTGTGTGGACCCTAGTACTACAAACAGCTGAATATCCGGATATCATTGATTGGCTTGACGATCTTTGACAATGATAACCCCTTCATTGTGGATGGCAGTGCTGGGGATGTGTTGGGCAGGTTTGTGCAGTGGAGGAAATCAGATCTGTTACCTCAAATCAGGCATGACGTGGGGCAGCTCATTGTGTAAGTACTCCTATCACATCCTGTAGCAATAGTTTTTTCAATGAATTATTTCAATGAAATGTTTGTTCATTTTTGAGCTGCTAGAATGTGGCTTTGATTGTTTCCTGAAGACTCCCCCATCTAGCATTAGCAACCCAGGCTCATTGGAAAAATGTGCCTGTGGCGACAATTGTGCAAAATGATGTTATGTTGCTTCTTGCGTGTTTCGCAACACTTTTAAAGTGAAATGCCCACATTGTCCAGTGAGTCAGGGCTAGCGCAATTGCCAAGAGCAGAGGCTTTCTAGCATTACTACTACCAGCAAGTTCATTTTAGGTACTTTTGATAGATTTGATAGAATTTTTCCAACAAGTAGCGGTGTAGCGCTACAAAAACTACATTTCATTTTGCACTTTGACAAACTTGCAATGCATTGAAGCAGCGCAGCGTCGTCTTCTTATTAGATCGCAAACTAAAATTGCATTACCGTCATCTATTGCATCTTGCAGATTTAGAGTTTGTCTGATTATTATGTAAAGGGACTACAGGAGTGGGTTGATATTTCACAAGAATCGACTAGTAAAGGTTATACTTTTGTGTATAATTTATGCAAACCAAAGAATAAAACACTGTCTGCGTCGAAGACTTAAAGCACATACAGGTGATTACTAGCTTTTTAAAAAATTGATTATCCTGCTTTACTGCACTATATATATCAAGGGCCAGATTTATTAACAGCTTGCACCAGTGCAAACCCTTTTTTGGTATTAAAATTTTTTACTGAAGAATTTGCGCCATTGCGCTGTGATTTGTGCTATTGCTTTGGCAAAGCATATGTCAATCGAAGAGAAAACAAAATTGCGATATAGCTTAGTGCGCTTATCACATGGCAAAGGCTGTGACCATAGACCAGGGATGGGCAACATCGGTCCTGGAGGGCCACTGTCCTACAGAGTTTAGTTCCAACCCTGAAAAAATCACCTGCCTGTAACTTTCTAGAAATCCTGAAGACCTTGATTAGCTTGTTCAGGTGTGTTTGATTAGGGTTGAAGCTAAACTCTCTAGGACAATGGCCCTCCAAGACTGAAGTTGCCCATCCCTGCCATAGACTGTATAAAACAATGGACGTGACGTCACCCGTAGGTTTCTAAAGAGCATTTTTGAAGCCCAAAGTGGGCGGAGCCAGCCGTTGCCATTTTGCCATCTTATCACTCCCAGATAACTGAAAATGGTCAAAGAGGCGGGATTAGCTGAGGTGACGGCTAACAAACCGATAATAAACCAGCTCCATAGTGAATTCCATCAAGGACTTGTTCAATTTAAATCTTATTCCTGAGTTCCTCCAGTGGGTGTGCACTCGTAAGCAATGACGCACATCCGAGTGAACAAGACGGAGGGAAGTTTGCAAGTGAAGGGCATACAAATTTGGAGTGTAACGCAGCGAATGATCAGGGAATCACAAAGAGGAACAGGAACTAGACAGTACTACAAAGTAAAAGTCTAATTGACAAACAAAAGTGGAATCATTACAGCCAAAACAGATTCAAATTTAATTTAGTGCCACTATGGTGCAAGAAATGTTTTTGTAAATAATATAAAATGTATATCAACTTACTGCAATGTTCTAATTATTTACAGTTTGAGAATGTAGTCTTTACAATTTAATTGAATTTGTCTTGGTTCTCAGAAATGACACCAGATGTCATTGACATTAGACCTGTGTATGTTCTGAGTAACATGATCTCTGTCTCTGTTTCTTAAAGAGGCCGTTCAGGACCGTACACTGGAGGTGTGCTTGGCATGGCCTTTGTGGGGACTGTCTGCTCTGTGAATAGCGGCGGAGGAATCAATGTGGTTAGAGAATTTATACTGCATCAATCAATAGTTTTACTATAATAGTCAAAATGACTATTTTAGAATGCTTTTAAGTATTTTGAAGCCTTCAGGGGTGATAGTTTTCTGAAAGCAGTAATCTTAAACCTGCATGTTTTATTGATGGAAAGGTGTGTTTGCAGACTGGCTGCCAGAAGGAAGAGAAGCAATTAACCCTAAAAAGTCTATCACATTTGATAATTTGTACTTTTTATTTATTTTAGCAAGTAAAAGGCATTTTAGTATTTCACATCCTCCTTCAGGTCGTGGTACATGTGTTTTTTGCTTCGAAATCTTATAAAGTAAATGTCAGAATAACTTGTATAGTAATATTTCAAGATGAACACCTACTGGACTGAAGCAATATCGGTTTACTTGATTATTCATCCTTTTAGAAAAAAAAAAACATTTTTATCATGTTTACAATATATCAAATATGATACATCATGCTTTTGAGGAACTTTTATTCGTACATCTATGAATCAACTTTGTATTGCATTGCATAATATGTTTTGCCCCACAGCATAAAATCACAGAGCTCTGATAATAAAACTAATAATTTAAATATTGTCTAAAAGGGATACTCCACCCAAAAATGAAAATTCTGTCATCATTTACTCACCCTCAAGTTGTTGCAAACCTGTATGAGTTTCTTTCTTTTGCTGAACACAAAGGAAGATATTTTGAAGAACGATTTAAGATGTTAAAGATGTTAAAATGTGACCATATCAAGTCTATATTTATTTCATTTAATTGTTTTGATTGTCTATGCTGTCACATACCTGCCTCAGATACATTTAGATGTAAATAAATTGACTCTAATCTTATGTCTCCTTTTGTTTTTTACTGTTATATCATCACAGTTTAGTAACGATAATCTGCAGTCGTTCTCTACCGTTGTTGCTCATGAGCTGGGACATAACCTTGGCATGGGTCATGACATCGGTGGCTGTAACTGTGATGGGAGCTGCATCATGGCATCCGCTATCAGGTCAGGGAATATCAATCCTTCATTAGTGCAACTATTTGAGTGAATCTTCTTTTTTGTCTGTGGAACACAAAAAGAAAACATCATATAGGTTCGGAATGACATGATGACAGATTTTTACTTTACTTTATCTTCCCTTTTAAGTTTAAGTATGTTAAACAATACCGTTTAAGTCAAGTCATAAGAATTACTACAAAACCAACGGCCATCCTTTTTTTGATTAATAATAAGTAATAACAAACAATAAAAAAATGTAAAAGTAAAATAATAAAATAAAATTCTAACATGTAATCTAGATGTGTACATAAGATGCCCCCCCCCCCCCTTTTTTTGGTTGTTGAATATCCTGTTTGACTCAGAAATGCATCTGATTATGATAGTAAAATGGGTATTTCTTGTTGACTTTAATAAGAGAAAACAGGACATTTATTTGTAAAGCACTTTCACATTACACATCATTTCAAAGAAGCTTTACAGAAAATGCATGAGTCCACATTACATTTTAGAGTGATCTGTATTCAGAAATGTACATGTACAAAATCACAGTTGTGTATGAATGTATTAATTTAAACAATGTAATAATTTAATGCAGAAACAATGAGCTCATTGAAGTAATGAATACTTGTTTGTTAACAAATGATTATGACATTTAGAAAAATGTAGCAAACTTCTTGAATTTCCGGCTGTCCTTGATGTGTTTGACGTTGTGTTTGGGTGTGAATGCAGTGGATCGACTAAATTCAGTGACTGCAGTGCGAAAGATTTTGAGAGGTTGATTCTGCGTGGTGGTGGGGCGTGTTTGAGGAACCAGCCCTCTCAAGACAACATCATCACAGTGCCCAGCTGTGGGAACGGCATTATGGAGAGTGGAGAGGAGTGTGACTGTGGCACACCTAAGGTATTTTTTTAAAACTCAGAGGCTTAATGGAAAACATTGCTTGCTGTATCATACGGTATGCAATCAGGGCTTCAGTCTCAAGGTTTTTTTTATGTTTCCTTAGCAATATTCAGAGTTCATAATTAATTATATTTCCAATGTCTTCAGTTTCCAGGCACTATTATACCAAAAACTATAGACACAATTTATTAAGCTATCAGAAACCTGTCAGTTTCAGTTTTTTTCATTCTCATCCAAGTGTGCCGCACACATCCTGAAATGTGAAGCCAAAACATTTAGATCACCCCGTTGGTGGCTGGCTGCAGTTATAGGTCATAAACCCCGCCTTCTCAATGTAATCGAATGGGATGTGAGCCAAACAAAAAAAAATCGAATTACACTTCAAATACATTTTTCCCTAAGATGGTTTCTGTCATTTTAGGTAGTTGTTATCACTCTGATGTATCGGTGTATGTATGTTGTTCAAGTGTTCGTTTTTCGTTTGCAAGTTATTTGATCCCATAAAAATGGGGTGTAACGTCATTATTGACAGATGTGCTAGTGATTGCACATCTGCGGGACCTTGATACCTCCACCTCATGATCACTACTGCTCAGACTTTGGCTCCAAATGGCATCATCAATGTGAGATGTAAACAGATATTTAAATTTTTTTTTTTACATTGGAAGGAAGTGCAGACATGTCATCCATCTTTTTTTAAGTCTATGTTCTCATCACAACCATGCATACGACTATCACATGTATAATAAGCGTAGTCGTCACCAATGAATTGCTTTAGACAACAGTGTAACATGAAATCGAAATGTACTTTTTATTTAGTGCATTTTTATTTTTATTTTTTTTTTAACTTTTTTTTATAATATTTGATCAAAATGTAATAGTTTGCCACTTTGAACATGTTCCTTTTCTGCTGAAGTAACTATAGAAGTGTGAGCAGGAAAAATAATATTAAAGGTATTGTAGGTAGAAATTTTATAAAAAACTTTTTCCCAAATTTGTTTAAACTTTCTATATATATCAATGCATAATTAAAATGTAAGTACTCTGATGAAAAGAGTATAAAAATCGAGTGACTCTAGACCGTTTAATCTGCACTAAACACAGCTCATTATTTCCTTCCGGGACGAAACAAAGGATTGCCTTAGGCGACTGTCACTCTCTCGCAACCATGGCAACCACCCTTTTGCCACACAGGACCTGCCCACTTGCGCGTACCCGTTTGATTTGAGGAATTCAAGAGGCACGGAACCTAGGAATAGCAAAACAATGGCAGAGAAAGACCAATCAAAATTCACATATGCAGTTCGCGAAGGCAAACCAGACAAAAAAAGGAAGACAGTAACGTTACTAGAAAAGGTAATGAACAAAAAGTCTTTGGATAAACAACGATTTATCTGTCCTCGAGCTGACGATGCGGTACTTGTCTCTGGAGTGTAGTCCTCATCAGAGTCAACAATGCTTTCATCATGGAAACTCTTACATGCAGAACACCATATATGTTATGAATCTTACACGAAATTCATCTTCATCACAGTGTAAATGATGGCAATGGAAAAACGTGTATCATGCAACCTGTTTTTAGCTTTGCCTTATAGATAACTAGCTCGTTAGCGAATCAATAAATATATTGTAACGTGTTCAAAATGCTGTTCTGTTACAAATAAGGATGCATTTAATGTTAATGTTTTACTTTATTCGTTTTATGTGATTCGATTAATTCGTTGTCAAGTTGAATATGGAAAGAGGCTCCACCCCTTGTGAGAGTGATGGGGAAATCTGGGGAGGAGGAGGGGAGAAGAGCGCCTCGCTGGTTCAAGTGCGGTTCTCTTATAAGTCAGGTGTTTATGGCGTGGGCTGTGGCCGACAACAGCCTCTAATAAACACCCTTTGTTATCAAAACCGTCTCGTCCTTGCCTGAGAACGTTACAATATATTTAAAAACTTTACCGATATCAATATGCTAGTTTGATAGTGAGTACAAAAATACATCTTATTTGTTTATCTTCATAATGATAAAGTTAGATTTTTTTTATTACATGTGATTCTGACATGATGTCACTACATGCACTGCGCTCCTTCCTCTCCGCTGGTCTCAGGTAAATAATGCGTCTTCAGCTCAGCGGTCGGACTCGCGCGTTCATGTGTTTTTGGGGCGTGGCTTTGGAAGGAGCCCAGAAGGGAGGGGGTGGAGTGAATGGAAATAATGAGCTGTCTTTAAAACAGTCGTGAGAGGTCTACAGACATTTGATTTTTATACTCTTTTTATCAGAGTACTTACATTTTAATTATGCATTGATATATATAGAAAGTTTAAACAAATTTGGAAAAAAAGTTTTTTATAAAATTTCTACCTACAATACCTTTAACTAATACCATACTAGCTCGCAGGCCCGGCCCTAACCAATTTGGTGCCCTAGGCAAGATTTTAAGTGGCGCCCCCTTGCATCGCAGTACAGTACTTGCACTGTTAGTGTACATATACTCACAAGAAACTTAATAGCTTTGTTTTAGACATTCTTTTATTTAACTAAAACAATTGCACATTCAAAATACTAATTATAGTAATAATAATTATTGTAAAAAATACAATAAAATTAAATAATATAAATGAGAAACCTCATTTTAAATACATGATAAATAGACTATAGTGAAAGATAAATACATGATGTAGACTATAGTGTATAATATACCATGTATTTTTTCAGATACAAATTATATTAGTAATTCATATATTAGGAATAATTTAAATTTTATTGTCATTACAATGAAATTCTATCTAGCAGAATGCAAAAGAATCAGTAAACTGCAGTATAATATTGCATGTGGGAATGCTAAGTTATGCTCTAACATTAATGATGTGCACTTTAACACAGCCACAGGTGTAAATTTTAACATGATAAACACACTTTATAGACAATATGAGCTGTAACACAGTTAACAGCTGGCGTTACAACTATAATTATTATTATGATTATTAATGGTACTTTGATTGATTGTTACAAGCTGGGAAAACGTGAGATAATGATGTCAATGAAATTAACATTAATACACCTGCTGATTAGATCTAATATTTACACATTTGTCCGAGGAAGGTACTCATATTACTATTTTCCATAATAATAGCGCTAGGCTTATCTGTTAGAACCATTGACTGTTAATATTTTGGTTAGAACTAGCAGATAGAGCTGGTTATTTATAGATTAGCTAACCATGTATGCTAATGACTAATGGCATTATTGATCATCGTTCTGTAACATCAAAATAATATCATTATTTAACATAATCTTTACCTTTGTCTTTGTCACGTTTTTTCCTCCTCTTCTTTTCTTTTTTTCCTCCCCTGGGCACCTGATAATTTGGGACGCTTTGACAGATTAACTTTTTTTGACGCAATAAAAACGAAAACCGAATGGCGGGTAAAAGAAGTCTGATTGGTGGAGGTGGTTTCCCATCCTGATTTGTGGCGCCTCATGTTTTGTTCTGCACCGTGAACTAAGTGTATATGTGATCCCTTCAACTCCCCCATGGTCACGTTAAAGTAAGAATTTATTAGAAAAATTTGATCACAAAAAAACAACAACAAGAAAGTCAATGCCATGTAAATCCCATTATTGCTCCACTCGTTGCAGTGTTAATGAAGTACAATAAAAGCGGAAAGTTCCTTACGCGGCTCTGGCGCCCCCCCCCAATTATGATTGTCATTTAATGTTTTCTTTAGTGTGACCTAACTTTTTTCCCCATTTGTTCAACTGTTTAGTTTGTCCATTGATCATTTAAAACCTAAAGGAAAGACAAAGCCACTTTGTATCTTAAAAATGAAATTGATTTGCTGTATGACACACTACAGTCCTTTTCAGTCTGGCTGTACTGAATGCAGTCTTTACTGTTGTGTTGCAGGAGTGCAATAATAAGTGTTGTAATGCCGCTACATGCACCCTCACTAAGGGCTCGGCCTGTGCTGCAGGAAGTTGCTGTGAAAACTGTCAGGTCAGACCCCTCATCACACACAAACACCGTGATCTAGCTTCTTAAAAGTGAACATGCTAGATACTTCTACTAATTAATATAAAGCTAATTATAATGACTACAGACTATGCCAAACATTAAAGGTGAAGTGTGTACAATTTTTTTTTTATGTTAAAATATGTTCTCTTAACCCAGTTTATCGTTCATTGACTCCTATGCATTTATCTGTATTTGTGATGTTTAAATTGGTAAACTAAACTAAACTATACTGAAAACTAAACTAAAACAGAATACACACGTTACAGTGCCACTAGCGTCACAGAAACTATATACTTCACCTTTAACCCTGAAATAATCATTTATTCGGCTTGACTAAATGACTACAGACTATGCCAAACATTAAAGGTGAAGTGTGTACAATTTTTTTTTATGTTAAAATATGTTCTCTTAACCCAGTTTATCGTTCATTGACTCCTATGCATTTATCTGTATTTGTGATGTTTAAATTGGTAAACTAAACTATACTGAAAACTAAACTAAAACAGACTACACACGTTACAGTGCCACTAGCGTCACAGAAACTATATACTTCACCTTTAACCCTGAAATAATCATTTATTCGGCTTCTATTAATTTACTTGTACTGAAAAAAAAAAAGTAATTTATAAATATCTTGACAAGATAGAAATGAAATATTCTTAAAAGAAGTGAAATGAGAGAAAGACCTTTGAATGTGAGCAGATCAATGTAGGCGGCACGCCCTGCAGACCGTCCGTCAACACCTGCGATCTCCCGGAGTTCTGCGGTGGAGTGTCTCCATTCTGTCCATCCGATTTCTACACCATGGACGGCATCCCTTGTGCCAGTAACACAGCCTTCTGCTTTGAGGGCCGCTGCCAAACATTTGAATTCCAGTGCAAACAGCTTTTTGGCTCAGGTACTTCTCATTGTAGAGTTTTATTTCACACATACACATAGTGATCATGTGTCACTTTCTGTCTGACATTATGTGGCCAAGCATCAAATGACATGCTGCATTAGCAAAATGTTATACAAAGCTTGTTTGGTATGGTTGAATTCACGTGTGATGTTCTTCTCTGTAGCGGCAACTAAAGCAGATGATAAGTGCTTTAGTCATGCTAATACTAAAGGCAATGAGTTTGGAAACTGTGGATACTCTGGGAAACCTTGTTCCGTGGAGTGAGTACCTCATTTTATTTTCATCAGCCGAAACATGCCTGTTTTACATCATTAAAAAATGCCATCATGGTTGGTTGGTCATTAAAAATACCATCATGATTCTATGCTTATTGTTAGGGTTAGGGGTTAAACGGATCTGCAAGTATTGTCTTAAACACAGTCAGTTGTGTCTTAAGTGAACATAAACAGTTGAGAAAGAAATCGGATGTGTATTATATTGGATCCATGCATTCGGTCTTAGACAGCAGCAGGTATTTATAGGTTGCTGTCACTTTAAGTCTTAAGTTAATCAAACAACTAAATGCAGCTTTAACAAAGATTAATCTATATAATTTATACAGTGAACACTATAGTGTTATTTTACAATTAGTCCTAACTATTACATGTCTGTACCTGAATACACTACAGTTAGACATTAATTACAAACTTTGATAAATACAATATAACAAAGTTACAAATAATGTAGTGTATTTGATCTTATTTCTTTACTGACTGTTCACTTGCCTTTAATAATGTTTGAACTTTATTAGTTAGGCTAGTTGTAGTTTTTGCTGTGGTATCGAAGTACTTAAATTGTGCTATATATATATAGTATATACACACACAATATTTGAACCTTTTTAAATGTATGTAATCAGGGACAGAGTGCAAGCATATGTGTGTGTGTAACATAATTCAGTATTTTTAGTGTATTTTAATGAACAGTACTTTTTGTTAATTGTCAATACAAATAAAAGTAATCATTTAAAAAAAAAATCCATTTTAACTCTATTTTGGCGTTGTTCAAATTTTTGTGAGTATCGTATTGTGAGATCAATATTGTGTATGGAACCGAATTGTGACATGAGTGAGACATGATATTGTTAACCCTAAGTTACTATTGGTTCAACGGATCACAAAACTATGGTTTTTGATCCATGGATCAGAGAATTTTTTGGAAGAGCTGTGTGAATTTATTTTGTGTCTTTACAGAAACGCTATGTGTGGGAAAATCCAATGTGTATTCGACAGCAACAACCCACCGGGAGGAGCGACGGTCAGCGTAGAAAAAATAGAGGGGGGCACAATCTCCTGCATGAATGCTGACTTCGGCCTGGGCCCAGATGTGACTGATCCAGCCTATGTCAAAACTCGCTCGGTCTGCGCTCCTGGAAAGGTTAGAATGGAGAGGATTTAGAAGTCATTAGTTTTGTTGGCTTGGAACTGGAACATTTCAAACATAGTCTAATAATATAAAGAGACAATTAGCTTGAATGAAAGTAATACTAGCTCAGATTTATGATTATGAATGGACACTAGAACCAATTTTAAACTGTATCCTCCATAATATGTACTGTTGGAGTTGCTTTTAAATTTGATACTCTCATTTTATTATTATCTGCAACTTTTATACAAACAGTTGAGTCCTATATTTCTCTTTGACTCTCAGGTGTGTTTGGACTTTAAGTGTTTGAATTCTTCACTTCTGGATCAGAGTCAGAAATGTGACGCCCAGAGAAACTGCAGAAGTAATGGAGTAAGTTACGAACTACCAATTTTTTTTTTTTTTTTAAATATATCCATGTTCTTGGTGTTAATGTGAATCAGCGCAAGTTCCAATTCATCAAGTCTCACTTTTTTTTTATATTGTGTGGTTTTCGCACAGGTGTGTAATGATCAATTCCATTGTCATTGTAATAATGGCTGGGCTCCACCCAACTGTGACAAATCTGGCAGGGGAGGAAGTATCGACAGCGGCCCGGCACAGATCGGTAAGAACACACTCATACTGTCTCACTCTCTAAATAAACACAGCACACAGTGACACGGTTTAATGGTTACATCATCTCTTTAAAAACTCTTTCTTTTTAGATTACTCCCTGAGAGATGGACTCTTGATCTTCTTTCTTCTGGTGGTGCCAATTTTGGTGGTCTTAATAATCGCTTTGCTCTACGTGTTCAGAAGAGACAGTCTCAACTGCTGTATCAAGGGTTGTCCATCCAGACACAAAAGGTCCATCAATTACTTATGCCGGGAACACACTACACGATTTTCAATGTCATCGGATCTCTGTTCTTCTCACACTACACGACTGTCAGGGTCACCATTTAGTTGCTGTTGTGTGCACATTACACAATGGATCACCGTCAGGGGGTCACACATTACACAGAATTTCAATAGGAAGAATCGCCGACAACTGTCACATTTTTGCAAAAAGAGAGCAAAGAGTTTTTAAACATTTATGATACAAGCCCTCGTGTTTTGCTTGTATATAGAGCTGCCACTGTAATACTTATGAGCTCTGACACATCACTGTCCTTCACTGACTACCTTCCGCAACTGTCTAGATAATGTTGGGTATGTAAAATCTTTGAAGTGACTCCAATGAGCGCAGAGTTGTGACGAAGGTTGATCTATTCTACAGTGACGTAAAAGTCGCATTAATTCTGATATGACTGTTCAGGCTGAGGTCGTATTGCAAAATATCTGACCTGTACCAGATTTAGGACCACATATGGAAGTGGCACAAATCAATAAAGAAAAGATCAGATTCCATGTGGTTTGTGCTGTTCACACAGTCATGTGAAAAACAGATCTGAGTCACATATAAGCAAAAGGGACATAGTCCACAGACATGCACAGAGAGGTCCGGATATTTAGATATCTCACACGGTTTTCTCAGATCGCATCTTTGATAATACACATTATGCGATTGCCACTCAACTATTGAATGAGCAACGATTTACCTCCGTTTCGGGCATTTGTTGGCGTTTTCCTCAACTGTCGACGAGTGAACATCAGGGCTAAAATCGTGCAGTGTGTACCAGGCTTTATGCCGTTTATTTTTATGCCTCTTCAATCTTGAAACATATGTCTTTTGACTTGAATGTTGTAATATTCAATATTTTATTAGTAAACATTGACTACGAAGTTTAAAATGTTAAGACGGAGAGGGTAAATCACTAAGAATGAATTATGCATACTTGCTTTTTTCCCCCATCATTTTCATTGTTTTGGCTCACAAAAGAAATGAGAAAAATCTGGGAATGGCACAAACATGGCCACAAAATACTGCTGAAGCAATTGTAGCTTATGTACAGAAATGTGCCCACAATAGTTGAAAGACAAAATGTTCATACCAGCAACCCAAGGTTTAAAAGGTTTCCCCAAATAATCTGCTGCTGTGATGACTAGAAAACATACACATCCATTTTAAATAAAACCCACCGGTACTTTTACCATTGTTTTCTGTGGGAATGATAAATACGTAATGCTAATTGCGACAAATAACATTGATGTTTGTGAATTTGGCACATTCCATAATAAGCCTCATTTGAATAGAAAGGAGGCGTGTTTGAGCTGACTTCATTTGACTGACTGACTTAATTGAAATACACACATCATGTAGTTCCTGGTTGAGTTGAATTGTGAGTGGCTTTTAAAAAAAAAGATCCAGGTTTAAAATATTGCAATATAACTGATTAGTGAATTCACCCAGAGACAGAATATTCATGTCAACAAACACAAAATCAAAAATGTTTGCAAATTGTTGTGAAATCTTCTGACATTTGATATTTTGTTTATTTTTACAACAGGTCAACTAATGCAGCAAATGGTCCTTCGAATGCCCAGTCAAATGTGGGGGCAAACGGCAATAAAACACGAGTGTCTACTCCACAGTCAACGACAGAGGTTCAAACCGCAAACCACTCACACAGTTCTGCCATAATGATGAAAATGTGTTAACTCTAAACCTTAACAATAGAAACAGGGCTACAGATACACGGATACACATGAGCTCCTCTTAAAAACAGCCAGAAATTACTGATAAATTCATTATGCCATGCTTTCATTTCCACAATTCCACTATGACCTGAAAAAGCACAAAAGTTACATTAATGAACCCTCACTAAATAAAACTAAATTTGGCATTTTTTAAAAGGTTAATAGTAAGTCAACGTCTTTATAGTAACTTTGCTCTCTTCATTTGTTTCTTTCAGCCAACTAAACCAACAAATCTAGTGAATACCTCAGTATCTCAACCAAGGTAATGTCACTAGAAATATCTAACCCTTGTTAACTTGTCTAACTTGTTTTTTTTTTTGTACACTCCATTGATTTATTTGTGGTGTTTGCCAAGGCAAGTGACAGACCTGTAACATTAAAGTCCCCATGATATCAAAATGGAAGTTTTTGGGCTTTTAGTATGAATATTTTAACCTTAAAGGGTTAGTTCACCCAAAAATGAAAATTATGTCATTAATGACTCACCCTCATGTGGTTCCAAGCCCGTAAGACCTCCGTTCATCTTCGGAACACAGTTTAGGATATTTTAGATTTAGTTCCGAGAGCTTTCTGTCCCTCCATTGAAAATGTATGTACGGTATACTGTCCTTGTCCAGAAAGGAAATCATCAAAGTAGTCCATGTGACATCAGTGGGTTAGTTAGAATTTTTTGAAGCATCGAAAATACATTTTGGTCCAAAAATAACAAAAACTACGACTTTATTCAGCATTGTATTCTCTTCCGGTTCTGTTGTCAAGCCGCGTTCAGTGATGCTGATGACGTAAGACGCTGCTGACCTGTTATCTGGTGCGCCCGAGCTTCGTTTACAGTCTGAGGGAGACGCACGCTGTAAACAAAACAATCTTTGCTAACATGTCTAAGGATTTCGACACAGAGGAAGACTTGCATTTTTTTGCCCAGCCATATTTATTTGAACCTGAATACACGGACACACCAGATACACGTCAGCAGCGTCTTACGTCATCAGCGTCACTGCGGACTCGTGAACGCGGATTGACAACAGAACCGGAAGACAATACAATGCTGAATAAAGCGTAGTTTTTGTTATTTTTGGATCAAAATGTATTTTCGATGCTTCAAAAAATTCTAACTAACCCACTGATGTCACATGGACTACTTTGATGATGTCTTTATTTCCTTTCTGGACAAGGACAGTATACCGTACATACATTTTCAATGGAGGGACAGAAAGCTCTCGGACTAAATCTAAAATATCCTAAACTGTGTTCCGAAGATGAACGGAGGTCTTACGGGCTTGGGACGACATGAGGGTGAGTCATTAATGACATAATTTTCATTTTTGGGTGAACTAACCCTTTAAGGTTATCTATAGGCTAGTGTGCTCCAAAACAATGACAAAATTCGCATTTAGAAGATATAAGCATTTGGAACTTGCAGTGTCTTGGATCAATCATTTTGATGACATCATTCTGCAATTTAGCTTCTCATCAAATTTTTCTGTCCAATCAAATGCTCTCTAGAATTTGAAACATCCCGCCCCCTACACTAATAGATGCTGAAGCTGCGTCTGAAATCGGTCATTTGTTCACACAATTGCTATTTTCTATATGGTGAATGGCACATAGATTTACTTTTGGCATTAAAAAACTTTATTTTTGTGGCTGACCTTATTGCATATGCATTTGTAGGAGTTTCCCTTTCATACGCAAAATTTATGGGAAGAGAGTATTTAAATGAATCGCGCAAGGTTTGTGCTAGTCAATTTACTGATGTTTACGCCATTATTTACCAGCCAAAAAGCACATCTTAAACCAGACGCTACCTGGTAGTTTGCGTTGGTCCTTATGAAAATGATCTGTCTGTGTTCTTTTCTTTAATTTACGCGTCGTCAGTAGATCAAGAATTGTGCTCTCACGCCTATTTGCCCTGTTTAGTAAATCTGACCCATAGTGCACTAAATAGGGGATAGGGAATGATTCAGACAGTGTAAATATGCTTTCCATTGGGGCGAATGAAGTCTGGTTCCGCGTTAGTCACGCGAACCGCCGCAGCGCGTATAACGTCTAAATAAACGGTTCAATAAACTGTTACATTTCAAATGTCATGTTTTACAAGGTTAATACAACTGTGACTGTCACAAGCAGTCAAATGCAGATCTGTGAAAACAGTGTTTTCGAAGAAAAAAAAGTAGTGAAAGACTTAAGAGTGGGTCTAAAATTTTAAGGGCGAGACTGCATCTAGCTGTATCCAGAATATATCAAAGACTTGGGCCAGTAATCAACCAATCAAAATACCATAGAAACAAGCTTAAAAGCCTTCAGAATATCCAAGCAAATGCATAGCAACATACAACCAATTAGAAGACCTTAGCAACCACATAGTAACACCCTTGTTTTGCACTGACAATTTCTGTTCTGGCAAACACCATTTACTTGAAACAATGTGGAAAAAATCTACTGAAAACTTCCTTACTTTTTAATAAGCTGTCTCTCTTTTATTTAATTTGAGTACTACAATGTTTGAGATTATCATCACCTGACCTGATTCTCAACATTACAGACAAGGGCCAGGAGTCCCCAGACCAATCCCACCCAGACAGACCCAAGTACCAGTATGAAGGCATGATGTGTTAGACAGTTTTTGTAAGAAAGTTGTTTACTTGACCCACTTTTCCAATGAAGTTGTCAACAATTCAGAGCAATTGGAGGTTTACTGCTGTCACCTTTTCTATAATTTGAAACAGATGAAGGACCAAAACTGTCCTGAACGGGTCAGGAAAAAGTATATGCTGCTTATTGTAATTAAAAAAAATGTTTACAGAGATTTATCATTCTTTTCCTACATTGAGCGATGACAGTGTGAACTCTGAACACACCAGGCAGTTGTTAATACTGTATGTATTGTCTTTGGGCAGATTAAGCTGCACAGTTCAGGGATTTTGCCTATTTAGTAACATTCACTGCTTTTTTCCCCTTTTCTTTCTTGCATAAATAATGTAATGTTCTGTTAGCTATTTTAATACAATTATTTTGATAAAAATTGTCACATTTGTTATTTTAACCCCAATATATGTATTTTATATGTACCATAAATGTCAAAATGAGAATAAAGTATATTCTGTATTTAAACTGTTAACCTATGTGTTCTCAAGCTTTAATACATCAAGTATGTTATTATGGTGTTTTCTGAGAAGAAATTTCATTACAATTTCTTTGTATAGCTACCTGGTGGTACTTGTTTACTTTTTATTGATTGATTGACTGATTGATTGCAGTAGTAGTTCATGGATTTTTTTTAATAATGTACATTTCGGACATAATTGACCACCTTTTATCTTTTATTTTGTATGCGTGTCTCTCTATTGTGCCAAAAGTATGTTGTCTTTTCTTGTGATGATTCTAAAACGAGGAAAAAAAAAATATTAGAAATATCTATCCGTCAGTCTGTGGATGTCATATGCCATATTTGTCATTGTGAGTACGGCAAGTCTGAAGGCTCAGTGATCGCGTTTGGTTGTTCGGAGCAGTCATGTCGGAGCAGGAGTCTCTGAAGAGCTCCAGCGCGAGGAACCGCGGAGGAGTACAGCGAGTGGAGGGCAAACTGAGAGCCAGTGTGGAGAGAGGAGATTATTATGAGGCCCATCAGATGTACCGCACATTATTCTTCAGGTAAGCTTTATCGCTATTTGCAGGAGTAATAATGACTAGTCCGGGCCCAATCGCTTCCAGATCTTTCTTGTTGTCAACTGAGTACGTTCCTCGGTTACGCTGATTGGCCAGCTGCTCATCCTGTCTCGCCCTTTGGGTCATATCTAATTTCTGATTGGTTGTTTTCTACGTCATTCATGACAAAATATCAGCGTGAGCCTGTTTAGCTACATGCTAATCTAAAGAACAAGGTTGATTTACATTTGCACCAGCTGAATAATTTATCAATTAAACCATGATATAATAGTACTTCACCCAAATTAATGTTATCTAATACGCCAATCAGATTAATTCGGACATTTCTTTGAACTTAAGCGTTTTAACAATATAGCTTTTAAACCGGCAGAATTGTGTAATTTCAGTTTAAAGTCTCTGTCTAAAATAATCAGATTTATACCACAATGTAGACCAATGTGATAAAGACATTATTAAAAAGAAATGATTTATTAAAACATTATCTGTCATTCATTCTTCCTTCCTTTTTTGACCTGCTGTCCATAGATTGAGCTGCCTACCTTTTGGACATCATGGTCTCAACCTAGTGTGCTGCCTACAAAGATAGCCTGTTTATAGGCATTGAATTTGAAGCTCCCTCTATTTGGTGCCTAAATGTCGTCTACTCACTATTGAGAGACAATCAACATCAGTATGAAAGATTGCACAGATCAGATAATAAAGTAGAAATGTCAGGGTGATGCAACTGTACTGTACTGACATCATAATGAAGAAAAAAAAAAAGCCTCATAAAAAGTTTATTTAAGGCATTGAGTTTTATTACCATTTCTTAACTCATTAATATTTAATATAACGTTTCAACCTACAGGGGTTGGACAATGAAACACTGGCCAGTGGACAATGAAACACTGGCCAGTGGCCAATATAGGCTGCGTCCCAATTCAAAGGCTGCATCCTTCAAAGGCCACGAAGATCGGACCGTGAGTTGTTAAATGGGACGGTCTAACCTACAGAAGACTGTTCTTGTCGCTTAGCAACTGTGAAAGCTGCCATTGATGAGTGACAGTAACATTTGTACTAGACTTTTTTTTTGAAAGTTATATTAATGTCTGAAAACAAAAATGGGTTCACAAACTGTCTAAATATGTTCACCTTGGTCCATTTCTGTATATATAAAAACAACTAACTAGGTATAATCACATCTTAATACGATATGTCAACATTTGAACTGCTTTTACTTAATTTTTTTACATTTGTATCATTCGATATTTGATTAAGTTGAAACCCAATACGTGTGTTTAAAAGTGTAATTCGACAATTTTCCTCAAAAAAATCCTGTTGTCACTAATGCACAATGAATTCTGGGGTAGGATACATCTGTTGTATCCTTCATTTCACGGAAACGAAGGATGCATTTGGTGGTTGCATTTGAAGGAGCCTTCGAATTGGGACACCCTTCGTCGCAGCCGTGGTGATGCGATTGGCCTTCGAAGGATGCAGCCTCTGAATTGGACGCAGCAATCGTGTTGGAGGATTCATATATATAATCAGTAGTCAACATTTGAAGTGGATCAAAAACTTTTGAACTTTTTTGATCCACACATATAGGCTAGCCAATCTTTGCGTGGCCTAGTAGCCAATTTTTTTTATTTATTGTTCAACAGTCAGCTTCAGAGCACATCACCACATTATTCAGTAACCACCTTTGCAATTACACATTCAGCCACTAGTCACCATCAGTGGAATACAACCAAAACAAAAGCACATGGAAATTAAACAATTGTTAAGCAGTCCTATTCATTTACACAGCTTTTGTAATGCTTTTTTATATGCTGCCAAAATTTGATCCCATGTTTTTTCCCAAGTGTGAAGTTTGGTTTAGCAGAGCAATCGCAGAGCTGTACATAAAATATTGAAATCCACACAACATAATTGGAGACATATCAGAGTGAAAAAGAGAAAAAATGGTTGGTGTGCGTCTCGCTGGCTCATCGGTGACCAGGACAGCAAGTCTCTGTGGTGTATAGAAAGCTACGGTATCTAGGGTAATATTGGCATACCAGCATGTAGGACGAACCACATCCAACAGAAGTAACTGTCGACGCAAGAGGAAGCTGTCTGAAATGTATGTCCAGGTACTAACCCGCATTGTATTCAAAAAACATAAAACCACTACTGTGCTTGATGGACTGCCAAGGACTACTGAACCATTCTGGAGGACCATGTGCACCTAATGGTTCCAACATTGTACCCTGTTGGGGGTGCCGTGTATCAGAATGATAATGCAGCAAGACTTGTGACAGAATGGTTTGATGAAGATGAAAGTGAAGTTGAACGTCTCCCATGGCCTGCATAGTCACCAGATTTAAATATTTATATCTTCTGGCCACTGTGAAGGACTTGTATCAGTCATTCCCAAGACAGATTGATGCTGTATTGGCTGCAAAAGAAGGCCCTACACCATACTAATAAATGATTGTCTAAAACAAAGGGGGTATTCCAGAAAGCAAGATTATCTTACTGTCAAAGTTCAGCCAACCCGGAGTATGTTCACGGTTAACACACAAGACATTCTCAACAGAGCGATGAATTGACAAGGCTGTTTAAGTTTGTTTTATTTTTATAGCTATGTATAATCATTTGGCTTCCACATTGCTTGAAAGGAAAGGTAGCCTTTGATTTTTTTTTTAATTATAGAAATACATTATAGCATAGAAAACGTCCTTTTGCAAAAGTATAAAAAACAACAACTTGTTTTTATAATGCTTTATATGTCGATATAACATATATATATATATAATATTGTGCACAATCTGTCACGCCCACTGGAGTTTTATCAATTTTATCAATGCATGCGCCACTGAACACCTCTGAAGTGAACTAACCCTGGAACAGAACCTGTAGGTTATGTTCATGGAGGGAGTTGCTATGTCTTCTTACATACTCTGAAAATTACCTCCTTTTTTTGGAACCGGTATGTCACTTAACCTGCTTTCTGGAATACCCCCCAGGTGTTTCAGTTTCCTTGTCCAACCCCTGTAAATGGAGGACATTCAGAAAAAAATCAGGAAATGTAATTATAAAGAACTGTATGCGCTTTTATGATAAGACACGGTTAGTTCATGTTGTAAAATGTCTTATGGTGTGATTTGCCCCCAAAATGAATGGTATTAGTTATAAAAAACAAAAACACATGATCTTTATAAGGCCAAATGTAAATTTGAAAATGGGATAAATTGAAGCCAACATCAATACAAATAATATATTTCTAAGAACATGGCACATATATTTTGAAGTCAAAATGGGCAATTCTTATTTTTAATGGAATTTATGTATTATCTGTGCACATCATATACAGTATATATATATATATATATATATATATATATACATACAAACATATAGCCTATATATATATATACTGTATATATCAATTCATGTGCCCTCATAATCTTAATTCAAAATAACTTCCCCATCCCACTTGAAACACCATCTCCTCTCTGATGACGCATTTACTGGCGTGAGGGCGGGGCAACCTGTCACTCACATGAGATCGACCAATATCAAACAACAACGATCTCATGGACAAAATAAAGTCCAGCCCTACTTTTTTTTTTTTTTTATCTGAGGAGCCGTTTCACTTATACGTCACAATAGGGAAAAGACTATCGCAACTTCCATTTCATGCACACTTAAAAGTATTATTGTTAATTAATTATTGTTTAATTAATAATACAATTATGAATTATTGTTCTTTGTTCGATGACCCCTGTGTGACCACAGAAACATTAATAATAACATGTTGCTTTGGGTGCAGGTACATGTCACAAGCGAAGTATGCAGAAGCCAGAGAGTTGATGTACAATGGGGCTTTGCTCTTCTTTAGTTATAATCAGGTATGTGTTCCTCTGTCATCTGCTATGGCTCATTTAGAGGCTCTAATTTATCATGTCATTAAAGCTCTGAACAGGTCACTGGTTACTGAGACAGTTGGCTTTTAGTAGACTCTCCCCCCCTCTTTGTTTCCT